ATGCATCCAACGTGGACGTTGTAATGCCATTGGCGAACTGTCAAGGACCAATTGAGTGGGTTTGGACAAACCTTCTTTCAAGTATGACTCGCACTAATGTCATCGAAGCCACAGGCGTACAACCAATGGGCCGGCGGTTACAGGTTCCTTTTTTGGTACAAGTGTAATGCGGGCGCTTCGCCAACAGTCGGCTATCTTGTGTGATATAGGTACATGGTGTAGAGTCCAGAAAAAGGCTGTGCTAAGACATTAACACATTCCTTTTGGACTATAGGAGATAGTCTGTCTGGTGAACTGTTGCACTATCCATGGGTGGTGGTTTGTGGGGAGAGTTGCAACGTTAAATAAGGTAAATGCAATGTTGGATCATTTTATATGACCATAAAAGTTTCGGTTTAATTCCCCCACATGGAGACCAGTGTGTGCGTGACACTTCTGACAACTCTACTCAAGTCCTTAGTCATTTTCCATCTTTTTCGACAATTATACTTTCCAAGTATAGTTAGGACATAAATCTGGTTAAGGCGACACATTTCCTTTTTTTAAATGTCCGTCGATAAGGACTTTACTGAAGCAGCGTCTTTGCGCCTGTAAGCTTTTTCTTTGTGTCTGCACAGTCTTTTAAGGCATGGAGATGAAAATCCATTTGCGTGAATGAAAATGGTTTTCATAGGACAGCAAATATCGAGGTGATAGTTCACGTAGTTGGTTACATGATCCCAGTACTTCGATACATCAATTATAAAATATATTGAAGTCTATAGAGGCAACAGTTTCGCATGGTAGCTCAATTTTTCGAGGAAGACATAGTATTTTCTTTATCTTGCGATTTTTGCAACCAATAACCGTTTTGTAATTCGTTTGTCATAGATTATGGGAGACAAATTTTTGGTGGCATGATATAGGCTTCCAAGCGGTGCTTTCATACAAACGACAAAAGTTTTTCCATCTTTGACAAACACTAAGTCTAGGGTTGCTTGCTACCTTGTTGCAGACTGTATGATGTTCTTCAGGCCAAGGTTGGCAGTAAAGCTGGTGTCGAATCTATTAAATTCATGTGACTTATCATGAGAGATTGCTTAGTCGTGGTTGTTTTCCCCGCACTATCGGCGTCACCGGGGCGATCTAATCCTTACCTATCGCATGTTATCGGGTCAGAATAGGTCTAGACTTATCTCACCTTTTTCTTCCGACTCGACTACTGACTGTCAATGGGCATCCAAGGAAGCTTCACAAGCCTCCATCCGATCGGGTGAGGGCTGATGTCCGATTATGGTGTAGGGTAATTGACTCTTGGATTGCTCTACCTGAGGATCGTGTTGGCACCAACGGTTAGGATGTTTAAACCCCGCTTTGACACCCTCGGTTTGCAGCCACAACTCTTCCACTTCACATCTTAGGCTGAATTACAATTTCCCATTTCTGTTTTCTTGTCCTGATTTCCACTATTTTCTTTACGTTGTCTGTTTTCCCCTTTTTTTCCTTCCTTTGTATTTTGATTTCATTTCACGTGATCGGAACAGTTGAAACTACTCATGCAAGACACGTGGGCATTGATTGATTGACTGCGGTGTGACGCGCTTGCCGCTTGTACATCCTCAGAAGACAAATCGAATCGCCAAAATCCACCCCGGCTCAAGGACGCTTCCACACTAGGACATGAGATCCTCCTATTGTTTCTGTTGCAATTGAACTTGACTGTTCAGGTTGTTTGTAAGATAGTTGTACTAGGAATTGTGGTGATCGTACCTCGTCGGCGGTCAAGCTGGCACCTTCGCCCCCACCACGTAGCAGAGCGAAGTACAAGCGGGCGTGTTTCGGATAACCGTCTGCGATGCGAGGCAGAGTCTAACTATGTGGTCTGGTCAATGATTGGTTGTCTAGTTCAGTTATAGACCCTTTCAGATGACCATCAACATCCTGAGAAAGACTGGATGGTTGTTTCTACCCCTCGGGTCTGGTGGTCATCAGTGTAACCGATATTTAGCATCTTTTATTTTGTGAGCCATTGTTCAAGCGGTGCTGCACAGCGATAATGTCAAACTATTGAAGTCTTATCCGCGCCACACCACCTTTTGTAATGTTTTGTATGTCAGTGCTCGTTTTCTTTCGTGACCCAATGGTCTTTACAATCTACTCGCAAGGCCGGAGTAGCAGATAGACCAGTAGTCATGTCCTTCTTTCCAACTAATATATTCTTTTCTCAGCCACTATGCTTGTGTCCTTTTTCCGGCGTATGCAGACGCGCCATTGCATCCCACATGCACGTGGTACTAAGGCTACCGTTAGCTACAACTGCTATGTGGCATCTACCGCCTCCCCAGGTCTTTTACGACTTTCTGTTCATGCACACTCCCAGACATTAGATTTTGCGTGACTTCTCACCTTTGACCTTGTCGTCCCCGTCGAGCAGCACTCTTTTCAACCGATCCATTAGCCGTTCACATCCGCGCTCACCACAGGCGTCGCATCCACGACACGTTGTTGTTATAAAGCCTCGAAAGTAACCAGCAGGTTAACTCTAGGTAAGGCATTAGCAGTACGCCGATACTCACTGCCGACGCTTCGCTGCCGCGCAACCATCACCAGTCGCGCGTGAACTAAAAATGCTGCCAGGGTCGCCCGGTCCCTACGCAGGCTCGAACCTGCGCCCTCATGTTACAAGGCCGGATTGTGATCCTTAAGGCTACGAGCCGGCTACCTCCTCACAACACCTGACATCGATCTGCTTCAGATACGGTCTCTTTGGTAACACATTGACCAAGACTCTTGTCAAGGTCAATCGTATCTCCAGTTGTGATGGCCTGTGCATCAAGTAGTCCCACGCTGACCACTGTTGGTATTTCGCTTAGCCAACTCACGTCTGCCGCACTGTACGTGAATTCCGTCGTGAGCAACCGACCGTCCACCGATTTTAGTTTCGGTTATGAAATTTCTTTTCGACAAATAAACAAATAAAT